AGGAACTAGACATGTAGGTGTGAATGGGATTAGGGAGAAGCATGTAAAGGCCCTAAGATGGATGGGAAAGAGTTGTGCTCTTCCATCCGGGGAAATTCTATTGTGGCTTGACTAAAGTGAATGAGGGGCAAAGTGGCATAAAATGAGATAAGGGCTAGATGCTGCAGGGCCTTGGGGGACATGACCAGGTAAACTGGATTTTATGTTTACCTATCAAGAAATTCTGGGAGGGTGCTGAGCTGGGGAGTGACATGATTTAACTTATACTTTAAGATATATGGAAAATGTGTTAAAAGGGAAGAAGAGGGCAGGCAAGGAACCTGGTTAGGTGGCTTTACCAGTAGTCCAGGTGAAAGATGACGATGGTAGAGATGGAAAAATACAGACAGATTCAACACTTACTTTGGAGGTTAATGCAGTATTTCTGAAAGCATGTCAGACATGATGGTATACATGATTTGGAATATAGGAACGTTTTATTAGAAAGAATATAACTGGCACATCAGAATGCTGAGTTACTAAATTTATTATTCCTTGGGATGAGACAAGTTTAAACACAAAAAATTAAGTAAATAATAGCCTACCTGTTATGGAGATATGGTAAAAACCATGAAGCTACTTGGGATACACCATTAATGGAGATGATGGCAGGGTAAAGGAACACAAGGAATAAAAAATGTTTTCCCGTGTTCTAGCTTGAACAACCAAGTATAGAACAAGGAGATAAAGAAGAGCTGAGTCAGGGTTGGGGGAGTTGAAGTTCAACTGTGGATAGTTTGAGAAGTCAGTGAGATGTCCAACTGGAAATTAATACTGTGCAGCTCAGAGGAGAGTCTGGGATGAAGACAATAAATGCTATGGTACTTAAACCCATGAGAATGGATAAAATTACTTACAAAGAAATTAAAGAGAGAAAAAACAGCCAGGACTAAGCCCTGAAAAACTCCCAAATTTAGACGACATATGGAAGAAGAATTAGAAAAGGAGACCGAGAAGGACAGGTTTGTAAGGTAGGAGGAAAACGTGGAGTCAAGCGGCCTACAGAGAAGAGTGTTTCTAGGAGGGAATGGTCAAGCATGTCAAATCTGCTGATACTGCCTCTAAGAGGAGGAAAGGGAAGTGCCTTCTGGGTTGAAATAATGCTACAACTTTGGTGATACTGACAGAGGTTCTAATGGAGGAGTGGGAGCCACACTTGAGAAGGTTAAGGAATAAATGGAATGTGGAAAAATCATCAATAACGAAGTTGTGCCTATAAGGTATCCCACTCTGGGAACTATTATAAAAAAAAATTGTGAGACTACAATTTTTAATTTCCATTCTGTCTTTCTTGAGTTTTCCTTTAGACATTCCCCTTTTTCCTTTCCTTCTCCTTTCCTTGTCCTACCTGATGATGTTTTCAATCTTTTAGTTAGAACCAATGATTCCTATAAGTCACAGATCAGTAGTGCCAGTCAAGGAGATATTTATTGGCCAATCTATCTACCTTAGAGACTACTACAGGAACTGCTGTCTGTATGGTAGAAATAGTCAATGAAGAGATGTTTAATCAAAGAATTTAATCCTTTCTCTTTACTTACTTGGTTTTCTTTTTTTTTTTTTTAAGATTGGCACCTGAGCTAACATCTGTTGCCAATCTATTTTTTCCTTCTTCTTCTCCCCAAAGGCCCCCAGTACATAGTTGTAAGTCCTGGTTCTGCCATGAGGGATGCCTCCTCAACACGGCTTGATGAGCAGCGCTATTTCTGCGCCCAGGATCTGAACTGGTGAAACTCTGGGCCGCTGAAACAGAGTTTGTGAACTCAACCATTTGGCCACAGGGCCAGCCCCTACTTGGTTTTCTTTTTCTCTCTCATTCAAATTATTAGGATCAAACAGTTTAGGAATTATTTTTGTAGGCAGAGCAGGACGACGTGGAAGACAAAGAAATGTGATATCTGGTTTGACGCTGGTCTTTGAATATCACTAGCTGGGGCATGAGTGTAGTGGAAAAAGTTCATCTTGCCATCTGGCTAATGTAAAATGGAAAGCTAAGGTACTTGTCAATAAGAACTTCAGAAATGAATGAATTCAACTAAGTTTAGGTCAGCAACGTTTGATCACTAAGTGTCTCTAGTTCCTAAAAGCAGGTCCACTGCCAGTGGCAGGCTGAGAATTCCAGAATTACCTGAGCAACTACAGGAAAAAAAACCAACAAAAACAGATCCTTAGAATTCATCCACAGAGATTCTGATCCAGCAGTTGTGGGGTGAGATCCAGCCACCTGCATTTCTAAAAAGCTCCCCAAGATTTCTGATATACAGCCAGACTGCAGAAGTTGATACTAGAGTCCCAAATGTAAAGGTGATTATTTGTTGCTGAGGTAACAAGGTACAGGTATAGACTCATGAAATTTTAGCCCTCGGAGGATTTTTAGAGTACATCAGGTTGAAATTCCCTTTTCTTCCCCCCAGTCAGGAAGATTAGAGTCCTCACTAATTCAGTCACACCAGTCATGGCCAGATCTCTTGGCTTCCAGCATTTCTATAGCATACGCTGCCCTCTCTTGTTTTTGAGTTAACTTATATAAATAGGTCTTTACTTTAAGCAAATATATTTTAATTTACCTACACGCACTACTTTTTCTACTTTATTGTACCCATAAGAGTAAACAAAGTTGGAACTGAGTAGATGCTTTTCTACAGGTCTCTTCACAGCTTCCACAGGTCCCAGTGATCATAAAGGACAGAGACCACAGCTTTTAGATCATATAATTTCTCACAGAAGGAATGGTTGCTATACGACATGTGAAAGCAGGACCACTTTATCAGATAAAAGAATTACTAAAAGAGCTGCTTTTCTTGGAGCCACTGAGTCAGGTTAAAGTTTGTAGGTGACAGGAATCTAGGAAAGAGAATTAAAAAGTTGCTTCAGGGACAAATGGAGGAGAAAAATAGTCAACCTCCTGTAGAGGGGATGAGCTAATCTCACAGCTGTTACTCTGACGGTAATTCTTGCCTACTATTTATAAACTAAGACTTAAAATAAAAGTACAAGATGACAAAATGTTCTAAACACAATGCAAAATAAAATGATCTAACGGTCTAAAATGTGTCCAGCAGGTAAAATTTAAAAGTTTATCTTTCTAAAGGAGGACAAAGCTGTGCATGTGCACACACGCATACATACACGGTAAAAACAAAATAAAAGGAAGGTGTAAAGAATTTCTGAGTGAGTAAAGAACCAAAGTGCTAAACTAAGCTAAGATGTTATAAAAAGAAAAATAATTTGAACGACCAAAATGTAAAAAGTAAAAGTCTAGAGGCTAACAGATAAAAAGTTAAAAGCCGAAAAAGAAAAGAAAAGAAATCCACAACAAATAAGTATGAGCTAAGAAAAGAGCAAAAATTTAAAGGCCAGAAGAACTGAGTAAAATAAGATTACAAACACCATTTTTAAAAATAGAAGAAGCTGGGGACCAGCCCAGTGGCGCAGCGGTTAAGTGTGCACATTCTCGGCGGCCCGAGGTTCACCAGTTTGGATCCTGGGTGTGGACATGGCACTGCTTGGCAAGCCATGCTGTGGTAGGCATCCCACATACAAAGCAGGGGAAGATGGGCATGGATGTTACCTCAGGGCCAGTCTTTCTGAGCAAAAAGAGGAGGATTGGCGGCAGATGCTAGCTCAGGGCTAATTGGCCTCAAAAAAAAAAAAAAAAAAAAAAAGAAGCAGCTGTTCAAGTGTCTATCACTAGATGAATGGTTAAACAAAATGTGGTATATACAGATAATGGAATATTATTCAGCCATAAAAAGGAATGGAGTTCTGATATATGCTACAATATTGATAAACCCTGAAAACATCATGCTAAGTGAAATAAGCCAAACATAAATGACAAATATTATATGATTTCATGTATATGAATTATCCAGAATAGGCAAATTCATAGAGAGAGAAAGTATGTTAAAGGTCACCAGGGGCTCAGGAAATGTAGGAGCAGGGAGTTATTGTTTAATGGGTACATTTTTTTGGGTGATGACAGGGTTTTGGAAATAGACAATGATGTCTGTACAACATTGTGAATGTAATTAATGCCACTGAATTATACACTTAAAAATGGTTAAAATGGAAAATTTTATGTTATACATATTTTACTGCACAAAAAAATGAGGAAGCCAAAACAGACTTAAAGAGAATAATCAGTATATACCAAAACCAAACTAGAAATTAATATATTAAAATAATAAAATGTTAAAATATTGCAACAATCTCACCCCTAAATATAATTTAAGGAACCTAAGGAACATAACAAGTATAAGGTAGGGAAGGAATGTCAAAGAGGTAGCAGCATAAATAGATGGCTTAATCCCAAATAGGTAGGATGAGCATATAATTTACCATCCTAACCAGGACACTTCTGAGAGGAAAGGGGACACTATTAATAATTACACAGGGACAACACGTGTAGACCGGGACTGTCCCATGCAAACAGGAATGTGTGCTCACTCTACATATAAAGTCAAACAGGTTCTCAAGGTTGAGGTCATGCCCACAGCCTGGTGTCTAGCCAAAGTACAACAGTCTGAAAACATCTTCCTGAAGGACCCAAGTGGTCAAAAACGCAAGTCTTTTTTTCATTTTTTTACACAGAAGTGACACATAATTACGTGGCCTTTACTAAAGTTTACTACTTTGGGATTCATAAAACAATCAGCATATTATTAGATTTTATTAAGAGCTATTATGATATTCCAGGAATTTTAGAAAGCTGAATTATACTTTGACTTGCACTGGTATGCCCAGTGATGAATTCCTAAGGTGAAACTTTTCCATAAATCTACATTTTTACATACTACATTAGAGCTCTATAAAGATACATATATATATTCTTTTATACTCACATAGTAAAAATCAAACTAGAATTACTGAGAAAATTAGTAACTGATATCTATCCATTCTTTAGTTTTAAACTGAAATTAATCTTAATAACCTACAAATAGGTTAATTTAAACAGTCCATACCTTACATGAGAAGCTCCGACTTGGGATGTTTCTTGCTAACTCTGATATCTTGGGTTTATTCTGCAGACACTTGGTTAGGTGATATTTTTTCAATTTTATTCTATTGTAATAATGATCAGCGAAGTTATAGTGATTCAAATGCTGTTTCTGCATGCATTTCCCAAGGTGAGGAACACTATACTTCAAAGCTTGGAGAAATAATTTGCTCTTCTGCTGCATGATATCAAAGTCCCTGGTTTATGCTCCCTTTGGGGCTGCCAGCATATGACTGATTTCACAGGTATACAGTATACAGTAGCGGGTTCTCAGAGCATCTAAGATCCGCAGTTCTCATCCCTCCCCTTCAGGGTCATGCACCCCTCAGGTTATGAACAACTGCAGACAGTTGATAACTCAGGTTAAAAATATCTGAAAACTTGTATAAGATAAGGTTTCATTCAAATCATACTTCTTGGTAGATGTGACTTAAATGTCTCATTTGTAAAGTCAGTCCTATCAGGCTCAAACTATGCAGCACTGATTCTGGTACACATAGGGACAAACTAAAAAACAACAGAAAACAGAAAACAAAAAAACAAAATAAAAATTTGCAAATAAGTACCTGGACTTAATGGGGGCATCTCAGGAACTCTGAGGGCTTTAAAAGGCATTTGATCTTAAAAAATTCAGAACATATCTTTGATATGTATATGAAGGATAAGCTGGAAAGCCTCATTACTTAATAACGGTGGAGGAGGGAGGATGAATATTTGCTGAGTGTTTGCTACGTGCCAGAAGCTTTTATATACCTTGTCTGATTTCACCTTTATAAGGATCTGATACAGTAGCTATAGGATGTTCGTTTTAAAGGTGACCAAACTGGGGCTCTGGGGGCTTAAGCAACTGCCCCAGGTCACTCAGTCAGTCAGTAGCAGAGGAAAAAGACCAATCTGGTTTGGCTCCAAATCTTGGACATCACAACGACTGGATTTTAACGTTAAAAGGGTATTTAGCTCTTTAGTTGAAAAAAAAAAACCACGTCAACATGCACAAATAAAATGTGAGGCTATCTCTGGTTTCTGTTGGGAAGTTGGTTCTTACTAACCTCTGAAGGTAAATAAGGCTAGTAAGTAGTTAAGAGTCAGAGACGTGGGTTCAGGTCTTCACTCCTGCACTTACTACCCATGCCTCAGTTTCTTCATCTGCAAAACTGAGATAGTGACTCCATTTACCCTATGGAGTCGTTGTTGTAAGAATAAGATGAGACAATGTATGTGAAGATCTTAAAACAGTGCCTGGCACGTGGTAACCACTGAACAAATCGTGGCTGCTATTATTAAGAGAGTAGAAAGGTAGGTACGCTGCTCACTGTTGAATGCTATCATGGAAGTCTTTCATAAAATGCCCCTCGGTGTCAAAGGTACAATGCTGCGTCAGATGTACCACAGCTCCGACGCCCCCGCCCCCCTTCACCTCTTTTTATGTCGCAGCAAAATAACCGGCAAGTGCGGATGGCGAACCAGCAGCCGACACTAGCAAAACAAACAAAGGCCCTGAATCACTGTATCCAGGCCCGCAGCCTCAATCCATCCATCTTTCATCCGCAGGGAGTAGACTGTATGCAGGGCTACGAATGGGGGTGGGCTAGACGAATGGGTGTTCCCGGCATAACCTATTCGTTTACCCTATGTAACTCTCCATCTCAGCGATGAGGCGATCTTAGCGCGGGAGGGAATGGTACCATGTGCCATGCAGCGAAGGAACATCCGTCAAAAGGCGACAACCAAGGGACTGGGGTGGCTGGGTGGGGGGAGGTAGGGAGAAGGGAAGATACCCCAGCATATGCCCCCCATACGTACGCAAACTGAAAGACAAGTCAGTCCGACCGTGGACACCGAAACGAGTGAAGGCAGGAGAGAGAACCCAAGGCTCTCACGAAGCAGCGCTGGTGTCGCCTCAGTCCCTTCCAGCAAAAGTGTGCGTTCTGCAGCTCACAAAACAACCTACCCAGAGCCGCCCGGAGCTGGTTTGCAGCACGCCGGCCTACGTAACCCCAATCTAGCACGAGCGCTAAGCAGATTTCGCCATCTTTATTGCGGTCAAGACTGAAATTTTCTCCTCCTGGGTTCTTTAACCTGCAAAAATATAACTCTTTTAGGTTCTTTACTAGTCCTCTGTACTCGAGATGAAGCAGGAGACAAGAGAACAAAGAGGGGCAGTGTCCCACTAACTCTGTCACAGCCTCATCTTCCTCTGGCCTGCCCTCACTAAAGATGGCTACCAGCAAAATGGTGCAATGACGCGCGCAGCGCTGCCCTGGTTGCCAAGGAGACGCGGATACCGGAAATGCGGAATTCGGGGAGGGCGCGCGCGCTAGGGCTGTAGGAGGGAGTCCGGGCGTCACAGGTCCTGACAGGGAAGAAGTGGGCAGGTCCTGGCAGGGGAGAGCTGTGGCGGCGGCGCATGGAGTCTCGAGTCGCGGACGCCGGGGCCGGCGAGGCCGAGCGCGCCGCGGGCGAGGACCGGGCCAGCGGCGGCGCGGCTCGGGGGCCCGCAGTCTCGGCGTCCTTGGGAGCCGCCCGGTGGAAGCTCCTGCGGCAGGTAAGGGAGAGACCCCGCGCCTCACCTTTGCCTCTGGCCACACCCCTCGCGTGGTCCGCGCGAGCGACTGGCTGCCTCTCTCCCCTTGGCGGCTCTCGGAGTTCCCTCTCAGTTATGCCGGGAGCCACCTGAGAAGCGCACCCTTGCTTCACCTAAGCGTCCCACCCCGGGTTGGGCAGAGAGGGGACAGCCAAGGCTGAGTTCCTGGGAAACTCAGATCGAAGTAGAAGATCCCTTTCTGGACGTTTGTCTACATCTGGGGGACTTTTCTCCTGGCTCGCCAGTCGGGTTGGTGGGACCGCCGCTCCCCACCTCATCCTGCTCTCCTTTCCTGCTTCTTTCTGACTTCCTTCCCCAGGTGTCTCCTTGCTTCTTAACTCCCAGCCTGATTGTAGCCCCGAGTGTGTCCCCTCTCTTGGCGAGCAGCGTGGTTGTGTGGGGACTGTGACGTTGCGTGCGTTGCCGCGGTTTCTTCCGTCGAGCGGAGAGTGAAGCGAGTAGCTAGAGCTGCCTCTCTGGCTTTCGCTGGGATGTGAAAGTTACATGTTCATCTTGTGGTTTGAAGTGATCAGCGAGATTCTCGGTGTCCAAGGTGGGCTAGTCCGAGCTTGTTGGTTTGCTTAGTGGCGGTTATCTTCTGGTACTTCAGAGTTGCTACTGTTGCTGATAACTTCATTCGCGTGCGTTTTTGACAGATTTCAAATTTGACATTGCTGACCCTCTTTCCAAACCGTTTGAAGTGAAATCTGTTTATTGTTTTACACAGCAGTGTTAGGCCTCTGCCTGAGGTTTCCCACTGAAAACTTCACTCAAGAACACACTTTCCATTTCTGACTGTTGTATTGCGAGAAGGGTTTCCCGGCGGTTGCTACTTTACTTGAGATTGTGCCTTTAGTATTTGGGGGCTTACTTTGCAGTTGTCTCAAGTTATCATTTCATATAGCGACCTTCCAGTGTTGTCATGACATAACTCAAAGATCGTTTCTTTTCCCATGCATTGAAAATCCTTCCCAAGCATTAAGGATCTGGCTTTGCTAGTAATGTTACAAATGGTATTACAGGATAATAAAAATGTGTCCTCATAGATCATTATCATAAGAACTTTCTGTAGTGAAGTAAACGTCAGTTAAAATTGAATTTTCAAAGTAGTAAATTAGGGCCTTAAATTAACCAATTAAGTCTTATTGTGATGACTTCAGTGATTCTTAGTATAGTTAAAAGTCTAGTTGACTAGCACTGATGTTCATTTTGAGTTTCTGTCTACATGAGAAGAAGGACAAGTTTCAGCTATGGCTACCATTTGGACTCCCCACAAGCTTTGACATTTAGTGTTTTAGTACACACGTGCTCTCTGCTTAGAGTCTTTTTATCTTCTTCTCTACTTGATGAATGACTGTTCATCCTTCAGACGTCTATTTCAATCTCTTCTGTGAAGCTTCTCCTAACTCCTCTGGACTGAGTTAGACCCTCAGCTCGCTGTACTGGTGAACCCCATATTCGCATTATTTTATGATCGTTTGATCAGAGTCCATCTTTCTCACTAGAATAGGAGTTTCCCCTGGGAAAAGAAGCTATTTTATTAATCTCCATCCTCTGCACCTCACACAGGGCCTGGGTAGTTGGTTTTTAGTAGATAGTAAGTGGTTTGGAAAGCCTGAGAGTAAAGACCGTCTTTAAGTGGTTCATAGCACCTAGTCCTTAGGGTATTGTATCAGTTAGCTATTGCTGAGTAGCAAACAACTGCAACATCACAGTGGCATACAGTAGTGACCATTTATTCTGTTTATGCATTTATGGGCCACCTGGGAGTTGCCTGACACAGGCTGTGATCAGCTGAGTGGCTCTCTGCTGCATGCTTGGTCTGTGTGCTTCTAACCCTTGGACCAGTTGGCTGACCTGTTCTCCAGGTGATGACAGAGATATAAGAGGGCAAGCCCAACCACTGAAACACGTTTTAAGCCCCTGATAACATCCTGTTGGCCAAAGTAAGATACTTGACCAAGCCTAAACTCAAGGGGCAGAGAAGTATACTCTTTCCTTGGAGAGGCCAAGGGAGGGAGTGAATATTTTTCTATAATAATCTAATCTGTGACATATTTTAAACATTTGCAAACTTTTAGTAAGTATGTTTCGAATGAATGGACCATTCACATCTTGTATGCATCCAGAACAGGGAAACTGTGGGAATCTAAACAGTGCTAGAGATATACAACTCTCTTTCTCTCTTGTGGGACATCTTCATGACATCTGCTTATGTTTGCTTGTCTTCTCCCTCACAATTCTGTCTTTCCATCACTCCATAGGGCTCTAATGCTATCTCATGGCCCTTCACTTTAACTGTTCAATATTTTCTGTGTTTTATAATTAATATTTTTGAAAGAAAACCTGGTTGCCTTAGTTCATCATTTGATACCAGGTCACATGATAAACTGCTAACTTTTGGGTCTAGTGCTCACTTTAATCAAATGAGATCTGGAAGTCTGTGGATCAGTTTCAATAGAGGATGTGGATAATATTCTCTTTGTTGGGTCTCATCACTTGACGACAAAGATGGCTATTGGCAACTATAGGCTTTCATCATCCACCCAGCTAGTGGTCCAGAAGAAATGGCCCTTTTCCCCAACACCCAAGGAATTTCTGCTAAATGACTCTAATAGCCAAGGTTGGACCAATTGCTGTGTCCAGGAGAATGGGGCACTTTGGCTAAACTAGGTCATCTGTCCACCTTAGAAGAACTGAATCTTTAAAAAGAAATGTTAAAAATGACTTGATCTCTATTGTAATTACATTTACTGAATACAGATTACATAAAGAAATGTTTCCTTTATTTATTCTAAATATGTTACCTGTTACTTTCATTGAATATCCCCTTATTGTCATATTGCAGATCATGGAATTTATTAAACAGTAAAAGCCCCTTCCAGTATTTTACTTGGTGACTTAAATTAATTTTTACCTTAGTGATTTACGGTGCATTACCTTGACATCAGAGTAATTTAATTTGTATAGAAAAGTGTTTGGACAAGATCCAAGACAGTGTATAATATCTACATTTTTAATTTTTAAAAATATTAATTACTTTGTATTTTTCTGAAGAGTAAGCTCTGTTGAGTGATTGGTTTTTCTTCCTGATGACCATGATTGACAGGTGATAATAAGACCCTGTTTTTGGTAAAGGTTTTTAAAACAATTCATTCTTTTTTTAATGAAACCTGCAAATAAAAGAGAGGCAACCTTTTCTGATCCTCCAAAAAAAAAAAAATCAACTTTCTAAACCTTCTACATAGTATATAAATTTTAACCAGGTATTTTTCCCTCAAGATATATTCATACTGATGTGTTTTCTTGTTTGGGTCTGATCTCAGTTTGCCCTTCTGTATGTAAGAATTTTGGCATTGGAGTCAGGGTTCCTTTTCAGATAAGAGAAATAGCTCTAGTTATTTTAAGCAGAAAGGGCTTTAATATAGTGAATTGAGCGCTTACAGAATCTTTGGAAGGACTGGAGGAGCAGGCCAAGAATGAGTCCCAGAACAACCCACAGTTCCAGAACAGTACAAAGCTGACCTGCCAAGAGAAATGCCACCTCTACCAAAATGAACAACTTGGGGCTGTCTCCAGGATCACACCACTTTATCTGTAATCTCTGGTCATCAGGAAGCTGCTGCTAGAACTCTAGACTCCAGAAGCACACCTGGCCTGCTAGAAGTCTACCAGCAAAGGTATGCCACTTGTGCTGTCTCTCAGTCTCCATTAAATTAGAGAATGAACACTGGGGCCTCTGCTAAAGCTGCTGCAGAAGAACCAAATGTCTATACAACTATTCTCACCAGCAAAAGTTGCAGAAATGTAATTACTACCATCTTACTTTCTTTCAAATCTCGTGTTAGTGAATTTGATTAGCTAAACCAAAATCACATCTGAAGCTGTGGCTGCTAGGGATTCTGAGAAACATAGTTTCCAGCTTTCCAGCTTTGTAATATAGGAAGGTATCTTAGAAGGAAGTTGGAATGAATGTTTGATTCTAGCCTACCATATTCTCTACAAGCAGAGGTGTTAAGAGTTCAGGCTCTGTAGTCAGACTGCCTGGATTTGAACCCTGGATTTGCCTCTTACTAACTCTCTGATCTTGGGCAAATTAACATCCCTTTGCCTCAGTTTCCTCTCTCACATGGTGGGTATCTACCCCATAGGGTTATTTGGGGATTTAATGAAGAGTGTGGTAAGATTAATTCTTACTTAGACATTTGGTGTAGTTTGCTGGCGAGCCATATGGGCCTGGAGTTTTCTTTGTGGTAACATTTTTATTTATGCATTCCATTTTTTTTTTTTTTAAAGATTTTATTTTTCTCCTTTTTCTCCCCAAAGCTCCCCGGTACATAGTTGTATATTTCGTTGTGGGTCCTTCTAGTTGTGGCATGTGGGATGCCGCCTCAGCGTGGTCTGATGAGCAGTGCCATGTCCGCGCCCAGGATTCGAACCAACGAAACACTGGGCCACCTGCAGCGGAGCGCGCGAACTTAACCACTCGGCCACGGGGCTGGCCCCTATGCATTCCATTTTTAAAATAGTTTAAGACTATTCAGACTTTCTCTTTCCTCTTGTTTCTATTTTGGTGGTTGTATTTTTCTAGGAATTTGTCCACTTAATCTAAATTTTCAAAGTTAGTTTTAATAATATTCCTTTGCTATTTTTTAATGCCTGTAGGATGTATAGTGATCTTCCTATGTCGCATTGATATTTATACCTTCTCTCTTTTTTTCCTTATTAGTCTCATCAAAGATTTATCAGTTTTATTAATATCTTCAGAGAACCAACTTTTGCTGGTGTTAATCTTCCCTGCTATGTTTATTTTCTACTTTACTAACTTCTACTCTTTCGAGAACTTAATTTGCTTCTTTTTCTCATTTTTGCAGTGGATGCTTAGCTTACTGATTTTTAACCTTTCCATAAATTTCCCTCTAAGCTTGGATTTATCTGCATTTCATATGTTTTGAAATGTATTTTTATTATTCAGTTCAAAATACTTTCTGATTTCCATTGTGTTTTCTTTTTTTGGTTCATAGGTTACATAGAAGTATATTGCTTAATTTCTAAAAATGTTTGGTGTTTTACATATCTTTTTAGTTATTTTTCATTTGTTTATGACTATAGGGTGCTTTATATCTTAAAAAACTTTCTGTTATGGGAAATGTCAAAAATATACATAACTAGAGAGAATATGCTAATAATCACTCAGGTATCTAAGCTTCAACAATTTTTAGGGGCT